GTTGGCAATTACCGTTCTTACTCGGTACACCTCTATTGCGGCCTAATACTCACCACTAAAGGTCTATTAGAGGTACAAATGGTTCATTCCGGTATTATCACTACCCGAGAAACGTGAATCTTGTAGTAGGATCCAGGTGAATATGTACAAAGTTATGTATATAGTCTATAAGTCTTATATTTGTTGAAGTAGAAAGTTAACAGTAAATAATCTTCCCTGCAGACTAAGTAAAATTGGCTATTGACTTGAAACGAATGTTTAAATGTATGCAAAATTCATTTCGAGCAATGAATATACAATTTGCGTTAAGCTGCTAAGATTATTAAGACAGTAAATTAGTTCCGTCTATTACACACATAACGGTCGAAATTTAGCCTCTGTCTTACAGTTTTCTTCTCTGTTTTTCAAATTTACAGCTTTGACCCATCCCTTACGTATGGGAGAGTGAAACAGCCGGCCCTACCTGCCGTGGTACCGCACTGGGTGCACTATGACAAGAGATGTCTCAACTTCACGGCATTCTTCAAGCAGCCTGTGTTTGACAACCCTGACGAGAGCAGCCGCGTCAGGATCGTGAACATGATCTACTTCTTAGAAGACGATACTCTCACTGTCATGGAGCCGCATGTTCAGGTTAGTATCTTATATTATACCGATTGACTTTCTGACTAAAACTGTGGCTTAAAGTTATTGACGCCCATTCGTAACTATAGCTATAAAGTCGCTACATTTCAATAATTTATTTATTTAATAAGACTACTATCCACCGTGCTCACCGAACGACTTTCACAGCATATTCAAGTATGTAGATTAGAGGTAAAGACTCGCTGCTTACTCCAATACGTGGCCGATACCTACGCAGATAGCTGCGGGTAATGCAATTCTCCTGTCTCTTTATATTCTCTACGTAATACCTACTACTTATTTGTACGTATTGATTTTGTTTTTCTTATTTGCTATTCTGTGCGGGCATTGCGGCGCCGCGTGTTTCGTGAAACAATATTATATTTAGCATGCCCAATCCAGTGTCGACACGACCCTACTAAAGTATTTCACCACTTTCATATGTGGACTTCGCAAATGGACCTTTTTACTACAAACCTTTATTTAACTTTATATAAAAAGAGCGTATTGTGGTACGGCTGCATTTAATTGTGTTCCTGGGAAGTTATGTTAGCGCGGGGTTATGATATACAACGTGGAAAAGTCGTTTCACAGTCGTTTTATTTACGTGTATAAAATAAAGTATTAAAACACATGTGGTTTTAATATTTTATATTGTATAAAAATAAATGGAATTCTTTAGATGACTAGCGAATATTTTAATACTAAAGATGAAATCTATTAGAGAATGTTCTCGTGAAAGTACTTTTAGAATGTCTCGGTAGGTATGCAAAGTACGTGTGACGCGAGAATATTTAGCGTAGTAAGAAATGACGTGTAGTCTCACACCGGGGTTGATACGTAGCGGTGTCGTAGCGATGTCGTAGCCGCTCTTTCGTTTCGTCGTCGCGTCGTAGCGTAATCGTAGCAATATCGTAGACTTTAATCTTCACGTAGCATTACAATAATCGTAAAGAATTGTCGATGTTATATCATATTGGGTGTGTTATCGTAGTCATTTAATTTTATCTAATCTCGCATGTGTACTTTCGCGATCTTTCCTTCTATTTTGGTAAATAACAGTTGGCAAGCAGGTATATATTAACAGTTTGGTTCAGAAAAGAAAGCGGATCGCATCCCCATTGCAAGTCGCGACGTTTGATTTTATCAGACTATGAGGACAGCAATCATCCTAAAACGATATGATCGTTTGACGAAAGATACGCAGACAAAAATATGAAGAAAATAATCAGTCAATTTAAATGTCTGCGTATTTATTTTACCTCACGTATGGGATGGGATTCTGTTGCAATTGTGAACGGATCTGAAACGGAGCTAGCAAATGAGCACGCATTTGTCTCGGGCTGAATGCGTCGGCGGTTGCAGCCGCTTTGTTCCGCAGGCTCGCGCCGTGAATGGCCGGCCGCTATTATTCTCACAAAAATCATTTTATCTCCGTTGACGTGTGATGCGTGTATTGTGCAGTTTTTAAGTTACAATTTCCAATGAAATGATTTGTAGAAGTTACTTTTAGTATTGTTTTGAATTCTTTTAAATGTAGTTTTCATTAAATATATTAATATACCTACTTATTATGTATTGGACAGGATTTTATTTTCAGGAATGTGTTCTGTTGATCGTGTATAATCAAAGTATGAATCCCAACATAGTTTAACATAAAAAAATAGAATTATTCTGAGTGGCAGTGCATACTTATCTAAAATTATGAGTTCACGTATTTTTGTACTCCTACAAAAAGTTGTTTAGTAATGAATCCACAATCTAAAGCGTAGTTTCTAAGTATGTTTTAAATGTTAATAAAAATAACTTGCATTGAAATTTAAGTGCACGTTAGAAAAGTAATTAACAATATTCCAAAAAAGAAACATTAGTACCTACGTTATTGAACTTGGTGGCAAGCAATCAATACGGTCAAGTGCTACGTCGGTATACAAGTAGGTATTTACAAAATAATTTAAATCACAACAGCTTCGGTCGACCGTTGTCCTAAATACATTCCAAACACTCGAAATTAGTAGCCGTCAGTTTTTTATTGACCTGGAATATTTTATCGTTTATTTATACCTGGAATATGTAACTCAAAGATAAAAGTACATAGTAAATTAATATTCCAAATACAACGCCACAGCGCGTCTGTCTGTACATGATGATCTCAAGAATTACTGCACAGATATCAATACGATATGTAAATAAAAATGAATTTCTGTTAGTTAGACTCGCTTAATCTCGAAAACGGCTGAACCTTATGGGTAATTTTGGTCTTGAAATGTTCATAAAAGTTCAGGGAAGGTTTAAAAGGTGGCAAAAAAAATTGGCTAAACGAAGTTTACCAGGTCAGTAGTTTTAATATAATTCAGTTAAATAAGCACTTTGGACTTCAGGCTACAAGAGGGGCGGAGATTGCATAATCGTTGCTTCCCATTCCTCAGTAATAAAGCTATTATTATTATTAATAGTGATTGCCGTAATGACACTTCTCCACGAGTTTTCTTCTGTCAGTAGATAAGACTTTGATATTTTCGCTTACAAGGTCAATGAATTTGAGTGATCCACATTATGATGTAGCTACTGATAGATTTCTTTCAGTAGGTAATACATCTTAATATATGTATTACCTACTTAATTGATAGTTGTGTTTGTGTCCCATCGTAACTGGGTGTATTATTTTTTAGTTTTTGTTTGTGTAGAGGGATAAACTTATATTTGTTTTGTTTTAGTTTGATTTTCTATTATTGTAATATTGTTCTGTTAGGTTGAACTGAATATCTTGTTTTGTTTTATGCGGGTTTTTTCAATAAGAATCAAGTGCTTATAACAATATTTTTACTTTAAAAATGAAATGATCACATATTCGCCGCGAAATCCGTGATAGGTTTCCAAATAAATAACCGCATATATAATAATAAATGAACTATTAATAATATAGTTATAAATCTGTTATTATTTGATTACAGAACTCTGGCATATGGCAAGGCAGGATGGTGAAGAGGGGAAAAATACCAAAGAATGACCTTGGCGAGTACTGGCATTGGAAGGACCTCGACGTTGGCAAGGACTTTTGTATCTATGGCAAAGTATTCCATACTGTTTCGTGCGACCTCTTTACTAGGGTACGTATACTCTATGGCATATATGTATAGACAAGCACCCATAAAGTTTATAACGTTATTCTTTGTGATTTAGTAGCGTAGTCCTGGCTTTTAAGGCTATTAGTTTTAGTGTTATTAGGTTTTATTATGGTAAGTACCTACCTACTAATACATTTGTTTATTGTAGTTCATCGCTTTTCAAGATTTTGATTTGTTTGGAAGTTAATAATAACATGTGTGTGTAATTTTATTGTAATAAGATAAAGTACGCTACTAACAGAAACACTAAATATGACAAACATTTAAAGAAATAAGAATATCATTATAGGCCAACAGAGAATAATATTACTAAAAAAGTGGGTACAATGTTAATAATTATATTGACACAAATTGATCAATATAATATTTTTAAACTGGTTGCGGTATGACACGTGGACAATTTTACGCGAAAAGTAACTAGATATTAACTGCATTACTTTAAGTTGTTTAATAAACAGTTAATCTTGGAAATTAAGAAATATCACAAAGATTACTTGCTACGCTTAAAGTAAACAGGGACATTGTTTTATAAATCAAGTTAATACACTCGATTATCAGCATCTGCCTAACAGAACTGTCCATTAATATAATTAAACGTATGATTCAAACAATAGAATCTCAAGTAGGTAATTAAACAAAATTGTTATGTCAGACTCTTGTCTGGCTACTGACGTCAAGACGGACAAACGTGCAATGAGACGACTTGCGACTGTCGCACTTGTGACGACTGATATACTGACCGCGTTTGTGTTTCATTACTTCTCAATGTCAGGGTAATCACTATTATGAATATTTTCAATTACTAGTGATACTCATAGACATAGTGCATATTAAATGCTGAATACCTACCTATTGTATTGCCAGTATTTACTTTTGAACGAGAATAATAATAATGAAATGTTGGTGTAACGCAGTTCTTCCAAATTCGTTATTTCCTACTGAACCTTTTCAAAATTATGACAATGTTAGACTGTGGTGCTAATGTTTACCTGTTTACTTAACACGATGACCGCTTATTGAATAGTACACAACAATGTGATCAAACACATAAACACTACACGTTGGCAATAGCAACTAGACGGTCAATAACCTATAGCGTCGTCTCGTTCTCGCTTCAACTCGTTCATCTAACCTTTCTTTGTTAGTCTACTCTCAACATGTATTCATTCAATCTTAAAGAAATAACTTTGTATCCCAAATATCCAATGTTAATAACATGCAAAATGATATTAAATGCAATAATCTTACCCTGTTATATACTAAATGACGGTGAACGAACGTAATTCGGCAGGAAATCGGATTGTCGGCAACGCGGCGAACTATTTTTAGGTTATTTAATTTGTGTTCGCGCCGACAAGGTCGCGGTTGAACGCAGGCCGCAACCAGGGGGCTCTCGCTCTCTGATTATCAAAGATCACATAGGTCGTCTATTGTGTATTGTGTATGTAACGATGTTGTTTCGCTAATTCTGTAAGTATCTCGCAAATTATATTTTGCAAGTGTAATGCTTATTTTTAAAGGGAAAATGTGTAATAACCGTAATTCTCTCTAAAATATTTACATGGCCGGCTTTAATTTTCATTTTCGCCTCCGTAAAAGTCGGTATTCCCAGCAGTGGAATTTATTGCTAGGAGGATTAGAACTCCACTCCGAGGAATTCAAAGCTTCAAAGTAAAGTGGTTTCCAAGGGGCGTAGTTCAATTTTAGTACTTAAGTAACGGTTCCATGAGTGACTTTTATTGGTCTGCCTAGGTATATGTTTATATGCAATTCATTGCACTTGCAATGTAAGTAATGGATCAATGTTTAATGTGAGACGTAGCGAGCAAACCGAGTCAATGTTGCGTCTTTAATTTATTAAAGCTTTTTCTTTGATAACATTGCGACCAAAATAAAAGTGCGCTGTGTTGGGGGCCGGGGGAGTTGAAACACAACAATACTGTTATATCATGGGTAGTATACAATGTTACCTTTGTGGAACAGGATTACGGGCAAATTGAAGTTTCATTACAATACTCCGTAGTGCGGACAATAGGAATACTTGCAAGTAGCAATAGGTTTGTTCCGAATAATCTAATGATGGCCAGCGATCTGTCCTTTGATCTTTGAAAGTCCAAAGAGTGCTTACATTTATTTGACTAGTTATGTACCGTGGATGAAAATAGTTGTGCTTGTAATGTATATTAATTATGTTAGCAAACAAGACATATCTTGTCTTGAAAAACACAACCTCAATAGTTACAAAACTTAATGGACTTAACGGATTTCCAGGACTCCGGTTCGAAGTGCAGGAGCAGTAACGGGGTGGTTTTTAGTCAGCAGGAGTCTGGTACTCCCTCTCGCCTCACCAGGCCGGGAAAGCCACTCGATGATATTCTACCCTTAAAAAAAATTACAAAACTGACTTATAATGACTGAAATAGTGATTATGTCTATTTTAATTCGTCGAGTACCGTCATTATAGATACAATTATAGAACAACGGTGACCGCAACCTATTGTTCTTTAATTGTGTCTATAAATACGGTGCTCGACGAATTAATCAACAACATAACATAAAATAATTCCTACGGCACGACCTTGATCACTACAAATAAACATACAAGCAGACACTTCCAAAGTACATCCGTATCTAAAACTATTTCCATATGTAAACATGAGTTTAGGATAAACATGCTTTAAACCACTATTTCGTCTCGTGGGAAGACAACTGGTTCATGGAAATTCCAAGTTACAGTTCAATTACACGGTATTCCGATACTCAGGATGATAGAGGTTTCTGTCTTGTTCCATGCATGTGAGGAGGTTGCCTCCCTCTCCCCTATAATATGTTAGTCCTATAGATTCCTGGAATAAATGTCTAGAAGCTGTACAAGTTGTGGAAACAAGGGATATTTGATAATAGAATGACGAGATAGAAAACTCATGGTCTAAAGTCTAAATTAACCATTAGTTGTCTAAGTTTTATAGTCATCTTAAACTGCTTAGTATGGTTTGTAGAAGCATAACCAAGCTTGAAGTTTCCTATTTATTAACTCCTAATTAAGTTTCCTAAAACAGTGGTATGGTGATAAGATTAAATAAGCAAAAAGTGCATGTCATGTAGACTATAATGATATGGATACAAAGATCACTAATCTTAGAGCGAGAAAGCGAAAAGGATACAATATTGTTATCAATATACCAATATAATTATATTTAGTACACTTACTATAGGTGGTATAATAATAATGATCGTGTTGTTCATTCATGATTGGTCCTCTTTATTCTCGTGTCATGATTATTTTCGTAAACGAGGATTTATTTAATATGCATGTCATTACTAAAAGTTGCCAAGTCATCTGACACCATCATATTTATACCGGTACACATCAGCGATACTGTGTCCGAATAAACATTACGCAAGATGTTGAAATACCTAGTATAAAAACGGATAAAAAAAATTAAATGCTTAAAATATATCTTGTTTGTTTTTTTAAGATTAAATTGTTAAGCTTGCATTTATAATGTATGATGAAATATTGCTATTAGGTGTCTTTATGCTATTGTCGGGGTTCCGGCTTGAAGAACAGAAGTAGGGACGAGGTAGTTTTTAGTCAGTAAGAGTCTGATACTGCTTCTCCCTTGACCCAAGGCGGGAGGAGTCATTGGTTGATATTCCCCCCTAAAAAAGATGTCTTCATGCTGATTCATTCCCACTAATATAAATTTCTAATAGGTATTCCTACTTGCCTCTTAAAAATTGATATTGGTAATCCGCTAAATTGCTCATTTGCCTTCTATTCCATAAAAAGGTGATTGATTTGAGGTTGAATCATACAGAATAAGCATTGAAACCAAACATAATTCACATACTTTCAGGTGAGTAATTAATAAGGTTTGACCTCATTAATACTATTCAAGTCCTACTGGGCTTCAAATTGAAACCCAGTTTGAAAACCCAGTTGAAGTGCTTTAGAAAAGAAAACATCCATCCCTGAGTCAAAAACGCGAGTTTTCCCAAGTACTTTTCAGTACACCAATACACTTTCAAGATACGCCATCATCATGGCCGCCTTAGTAAACGCCATTAAATCAGCCCATTCGATCTGAGAGCCACGACGCCGCAATATTGAGACATAATTATCTCCACATTTTAAAATTCAAAATGCGGTTCCTAGCAATAACAGAGCAATAATGTGAAACGAATGGCCGCCGTAAACCCCTCGAATGGCTTTCCGAATAAAGCCAAAGGGAGGTCGTGGGGGCTTAAAGAAATGTGTTTATTGCCGGGAACAATAGACCTGTCGCCGTTACAGCCACGCTGGCTGCCCAGTAAACTGATACACGCCCTTTTATGTTCTTTGCACACAATTAGTTTCGTGTGTCGAATCTCTGGATTTACTGACCCACCGCTATTAAATGAGGCACCTTTACGAAATAGTTTCGAGGGAATTAATTACAGGAAAAAACGTTCCTTTCAAATACTTGGCAATGTGATCAATTGATGGGATCTTTTCTATTTAGTACTGTTTTGTTGGAGCTTAACCTTTCGTGTGTCTAAGACGTGGATCCATGCGAGACACAATGTATTTTCTATTGTGTCTCATATCGGTGCATTCAAAAGGTTAAAGAGAGCTTCAACTACAATTGCTATCTTATGAAAATAAGTTCATGTTTAAGGTTTCTTTCATACTATCATCAAAATCATTATTCATTACTCACATTCACACTCTAACAATCAAACCTGTCGCGGAGAACTTAACGGGTAACCGGGGCTCCGGCTCGACGTGCAGGAGAAGGAACGGGGTGGTTTTTAGTCAGTTAGAGTCTGACACTCCCTCCCGCCTCACCCAGGCGGGAGCAGTCATTCGCTGAATTTCCCCCCTTAAAAAAAAACTATCAAGTGAAGCTAGAATTGACTCCCTACGCTCAACTTAGGAAACTTATCAATGACTTACATCCATGTCAATCCCGAGGGAATGCAGAAGTAAATATACTCTACACTCGGTTTTCGCATTGTTATATGATTTCTATTGCAATTATTTATTAGAAGGCGAACCTGTCTGTGAACTGTCGAATAAGATGTACAATATTAAACACTAATATTGAATTTCAAATTTAGTTAATTATAAAAAATATATTTGGCGTTATATTCAATAATTTGTGCTCCTCTGCCTAACCTTTCGGGAAGTAAAAAGCAAGTAATGTTAATTTTTAGTGTCATGTCGTGGTGGTCCGGAAGTTAAAGACCTACCAACGAAATCTACCAACGGCAAATACCTATGAGACTTTTTCCGAGTTATATGTACTTTTTAAGATTATTTAGACACCACTAACAAATGGTGATGGAAAACATCGTGAACCTGGAAACCTCGGCTTATTTATAATTATAAGTTTAAAATCGCCAACCCGCATTGAGCAAGCGTGGTGATTAATGCTCAAACCCTCTCCGCGTGAGAAGACCCCTTTGGTCAGCAGTGGCCACTTATAGGCTGATGTGTGTGTGGGTGTTAATTTTTATTAATCCGAGGATTATACCCGAAACAGAAACCATCATTTTACTCCACCAACGATGCTATACGGCTCATGTTTATTTCATTTCATCACTCCTCTATTCTGTGATTCAAAACGAGTGTCTATTGTTTAAAACATTTTTGCCATTTTGCAAGTTATACATAATTTACAAATTAATATTCATTCAAATACTCAAATTATCATATGCCAGTTTGATTTTCCTGTGAACGGATTATATTCGCACATATTAGTTAGCTTGAAATTAATACCTGAGTGTTAGTTTCACACTGACATAATCATTGCTGATCGTCAGTTTGTATTTCAACAACAATCAACGAAATACTTACTAATAAATATTATTTTAGTAGTTGGTGTGTATAAAATCAGTGTTCCGTGCTTTGAAATGTTATTAGTTTTCGAGTATTTATATGATGAAAAACTAATATTTGCTTTCTCTGTGTGCGAATACTGACAGTTTTGTCGAGAGCTTGAACAAATATTTTTCTTTCATATCTGTGTTGAGCGAACTTTGATTAGATAGTGCGGATAATCACCCTTATCGTGTTATACTTTCGTAACTAATCGAGAGTATAAATCTGAATTGCTAAGTAGGTACTTAATTCGGTTTTTGAATCAAACAAATTATATAGGGCAAACATTTCTTTATTAAGCACTTGTAAAAAAAATACAACAGTAATACCTATGTACTTGTCACTTTACAGTTGCGTACAGCGACAGTAAAGGATTAGATAAGATTACACATCTTATCTAACATACATTCGTTTACAACTCCGAGTTTGATAATGTTATGAGTACACATTACTTTTTTATTGATCACGCGTCTAATACAGTCCAATACATTCTTATTAACAAATCACAGCGCACTGGAGTAGTGTAGAATTACTTTGACTCCCATGTAGAATGTGATCATGAGAGGAATGCCGAAGGCGATGCCACGCGCTGGCTGAGGCAGTGGCTTGACAGCGTAGACCAGAGTGTGCATCACTCGGCCAGCTGTGTACACACGGAACAGCGTGGTGGCGAGCCAGGCGGAGGGCGCAGTAGTCAGGTACAGCGCGCCCAGCACCCAGAACACGGGAATGTTCTCCAAGTCGTTGAGGTGCGCGCGACGAACTCGCTCCACGTCGGGGTCATCGTACTTCACTTTTCCTTTCTTCGCTGCAGCGTCCTCTGGGTTAGCAAACACATTCTTAGCGTATCGCACTCTGGCTGTCAAAAATGCCATACCCAGAACTTTGAGGCCCAAGACGCTGGAATACAGCAGATACGATTGTACCGCTGGATCATCCAATGGTAGCGGTGCCATTTTTCAATAAAACACAGTTGCTACGTTTCCGATTATTAAATTCGTAGCCGACCGAGTGGAGCGGCGCGCTGGGATATAACAGTCACACTGACCGAGTCGCTTGTTCACTGTAACACAGCGCTTCGTTACTTGTTATCGTATAGCTACAGTATTTCGTCAACCAATAGTAGGTGTTGTTGTTGTCAAACCGAGTACACTGACTCGTACGTAGTAGGCAGTAGCTATGTCCAATTTGTAGCTGTCTATGCTTTTAAAAAACTAACTTGTCTCGTCGACCTTGAGGATTAACCAGATGGTATAGTGTAATTGTCAAGGACAAGGTGATTTTAAATGTTTCACAGTTTTTCAAAGTATTCAAAGTTCAGCTATTTGGGTATCAATTAAGTAAATGGCAAAAGACCACGTAATAAAGATATCTGCCTAAGCATTTGAGGCGTTGGGATATTATAACAGGAGTGATGCTATGTTAATATTCGAAGCTCTGTATCCAGTGGATAATTTCTGTGTTGACTTTTCGTACATTTAAATAACGTTTAGCGAAGGTATTTACATATTTGCATATTAATCGACAAACATCCCAAAACAGAAGCTCATTCAATGTATTCGAAAGATGACTCTTTTATGCACGTTTTTTTTATATACTTTTCATGTACAATACGTACTACGATTTTTATGAACGTTCTTTCGATTTATGTTTAAAATTGCAATCCTATTATTATCTCACTGCGAGGATCGCCCTGAGGACACGGTGGAATACACTGTAGGGGCATGCCCTGCGTGGGCTGAGCACGGCCGTGCCCTCAGTGATGTGATCGGCGACGGTGACCTCTCGCGTCCGGCCCTAGTTCCCAAACTAGGGCCGAGAGAGAGAGAGAGAGATTGACGGGTCAAGATGCGGAGCGAAGAGGACTGGGATGCCGTCTCCTTCTTTTGCGTAGCAATCATGTTAGCTAAGGAGGAGGCGGGACACGTGAAGTAGCGAAGTACGTCTCCAGCCACCGTAAGCACGGGCCTGTGGACGGCGAGCATGGGTAGCTCGTCGCCCGACTAGAACCAGACCCGAACGTGCAGTGCGTCGCGTTCCGCGCGCGCCTCAATGAGCCATCAGACCACCACGGATGGGGTCCAATAGGGTTGATGCCGATACAGAGCCGCGGAGGACTTGACGGGGTATCAGGGCTCCGGCTCGAAGGGCAGGAACAGGAACGAGGTGGTTTTTAGTCAGTAAGTCTGACACTCCTTTCCGCGTTACCCAGGCGGGAGAAGACTTCGATGAATTCCCTCTCTTATAAAAATCATATTTTTATCTAATTTTGTGCGTTTATTCTGTAAATTTAAAATTAACAGAACTTGGACGTTATTTATAAATGTTTTGGTATTACTTAAACATGGAAACTTTTAGAGTGTTTATGTTGAAATAGTAATCTATTTCAACATAAACACTCTAAAAGTTTATTATTAAATAGGGTACATGACTAATTTTTATTTTAATGTCCGTCTGGTAGATTATTTATAAACATTAGACACGTATTTTTAAGTTTTTTACGGAAACGAATAGTTTCGAAGATATATCGATTTGAAATGTCGCGTGACGTCACTTCTCAGTACATTTTATACGTAGAAATTACGTTTTAGCCCCCACTCCTAAACTTTGATTCGTTATATCTTAGAATCATTTTATTAAATGCCTCGTTGGCCGGGTGGTCGCAAGTGCGACTGCCGAGCAAGGGGTCTCGGGTTCGATTCCCGGGTCGGGCAAAGGATTACTGGGTTTTTAAAAAAATTCTCAGTAGTAGCACGGAGTCTGGAATTGTGCCTGGTATATGGCAACAGGCTCACCCCCTATTACATGGGACTCATAACATAAATAGTGAAAAGTGGGTGTTACATTGTACAGTGGCATAATGTGCACCTCTGCCTACCTCTTCGGGGATAAAAGGCGTGATGTTATGTAATGTCATTTTATTAAACATCAAAATAAAAAATATGTGTCTAATATTTTTTAATTACCTAACTGACGGACTAATTACATTTTTAATTTTTATGCTGTCATCGTCCCTATTAGTTTGTTGTTCAAAAACATCTCAGCAATAATTACTGACAATGTAGTAGTACATAATTAAAAACAGTCAACGGTGGTAACAGTAATAATGTTCTATGCACATTTTTTAAACTTTTCGGTGTATGTAGTAATTCGTCATAATTAACGAAGTCATAGTTTTGTTTTGCATTGTTGCTCATCTTGACTGTCGGTTAAACTTCTTGGATGAATGTGATGAATATTAAAAAAAAAACAAATTATAATAGGCATATTTACATAATATTTATTACTTAATTGTACAGCTTCAGTGAGATATCACAAATACTTAAGTTAAAAGTTCACAAATCACAGCGCACTGATGTAGTATAGCACTACTTGGACTCCCATGAAGACTGAGATAAAGTAAGGAATTATGAAGCCGATGGCTCGACTTGGCGGTGGCATTGGCTTCACAGCGTAGACCAGAGTATGGAGTATTCGGCCGGCGGTGAAAAGACGGAATAGCATGGTGGCGAGCCAGGCGGAGGGCGCAGTGGTCAGGTACAGCGCGCCCAGCACCCAGAACACGGGAATGTTCTCCAAGTCGTTGAGGTGCGCGCGACGAACTCGCTCCACGTCAGGGTCATCGTATTTTACTACCCCTTTTCTTGCACGAGCGTCTTCAGGGTTCGCGTACACATTTTTATTGGCTCGGGCCTTTCCTGTCAAGAAGGCAACAGCCAGAACTTTAAGTGCTAAGATAGCTGAGTATAGCAGGTACGACTGCACGGTCGGGTCTTCTAGCAATAGGGGTGCCATGATTTGAAGACTTTGAACTTGCACGGACTGTTATTAGTGTTCAGTTGAAATGTTCGCGTTGTAGTGGCGATCTGGGCTGAGATGTCGACGGTAATAAATATAGGAGTCAACTCGCGAGCTCACCATGATTCAGCACTGTTGGGTTATCATGTTGAGTAAATTAAAGTACGTAGGTGGTGCAATCTGAATTTATTTTCGTGTAATAGTTTAGTTACGCAAAAAGCTTTACATAGAGAGGAGTGGAAGGAGGGTAGGGAGGCCTTTGCCCTGCAGTGGGACGATCATGGCTAAAAACAAACAAAACAATAGTTACTACTACTATAGTGGTACTACGTATAATGTTTGCGTATTATAAGGTTTTATATACAGAACTTCATGGTTATTTCTAAATCAGTTGTTATGAAGCCATATCATAGGAAGTACGTGTACTTCTTTTATTATTTTTTTTATCTTTTCTTTACTTAATCTTTTTTCAATGGGCACAGAGTTTTAATTGGATTTGATTAAATGCCAGTGGTTTAAATGGAGTGATTACCATGTCCCTGTTTTTGGTATTCTTGGTTAGATCCGTTGTATTTTTTCGGATAGATCGATTGTCACAGATATTCAGATAACAATAATTGGGACATTATTAGTTCCACCTTATTTCAATTTCAAGACTCCAGAATATTGATGATATTTTAATCAGAAAAATCATAATAATAACATCACGCCTTTTATCCTCAAAGGGGTAGGCAGAGGTGCACTTAACGGCACCTAATGCCACTGTACAAAGTAACACGCACTTTTCAGTATTTGTGTCATTAGTCCCATGTAAAAGGGGGTGCGCCTATTGCCATATACCGGGCACAATTCCAGACTTCGTGCTATTACTGAGATTTTTTTTAAAAAACCCAGTAATACTTTACTCGACCCGGGAATCGAACCCGAGGACCCTTGACCGGTAGTTGCCCCTGCGACCACTCGGCCAACGAGGCAGTCCGAAAAATCCTCTAGCAATTTTATGTCCGAAGCTCATGAATTGAACCCATGAGACTCATTACACGTACACCCAGATATTGTGGTAAAGCTGTTTATTAACTTTAATTCTATTTTTTAATTTTAATTACTCAAAACGAATGTGTGTGTGTCTATGTGTCATTTATATGAGTATTTTTACTATGCAGTGTGAAATACTATGTGTTTTATTGTTTACGACAATATAATGTTAAACAACGAATTATATCAAGGTAAAAAGGCAAGGTACTAATCTATCGAAGTTTACGGTCGTGGTAAACGCCCAAGTCCCTCACTACATCAACTCTGGGTAACACTTGCATTCTCAACCTATAAGTTGTTGGCAATGTACTACGTTTGCGACTATAAGTAATAACTGAACACTTTGTAGGATTCAGGTCCAGTTTGTTACGCTGACAATATTCATCTAGTCGATCCAAATCCGACTGAAGAGCCACCATGTCATTGAAGCATGAGACAGCTGAATAAATCTTCATGTCGTCAGCGAAACAGAGTAGATGAGAAGAATGGAAACAAGAATCGATGTCGTGCACGTATAATATGAAGAGTAAGGGGCCCAACAAGGAGCCTTGTGGGACCCCGCTAGGAACGGGTACCCAACTAGATATATAATTATTGATAACAACGGCCTGAGTCCTGTATGCAAGATATGATGCGAACCAACGAAGCAAATCCCCGTGGATACCTGCAAGCAACAATTTAGATAGGAGAATTCTATGATCTATTCGATCGAAACATTTCGAATAATCTGTATAAACTACATCAACCTGAGCTCCACCATCCATGCTTTGTGACACGAAATCGTTCAGTACAGCCAAATTCGTAACAGTCGAACGACCCCTCAAAAAACCGTGTTGGAAGGGACTGAAACTATTCCTAAGTGCCGCGTAGACCTGATCATATATCACCCTCTCAAATACCTTGCCTAAGATACATAGCTTTGAGATAGGTCTATAGTTGGTGACTTCAGTTTTTGGGCCTTTTTTATGCACGGGTGTAATATAGGCAGACTTCCAGACTTGAGGTACAGTACTTGTAGATAGAGATTTGGTAAACAATAGGGAAACTGGAAGAGCTATAGATTTAGCACACTTAATAAGAAATTTGGGCGACATCTTGTCAGGCCCAGCGCCCTTGTGAGGGTCGAGGTTAGACAACAATCTCATAATTGAATCGACATTAATTTCAATAGAATGAATGTCAGATGCAGTCGAGACTTCATGGTCACGAATTTGAGACACATGGGAGTCAATGTCCGGCTCTAGAAAGGTAGAACGAAAGTGGGTGGAGAATGCTTCGCAGATAGTCATTGTGGAGGACAACGTGACGTCACCGTAAGTTAAATAGCCAGGTATTATTATTATTAATTATTCAATTTTTGTGGTGATTTACGATGGCTTGATAGCAACATAGAAGGTTTTAAAGAAAAAAAGCGACTTGTATTGTTTCTATATAACTATTTTGTGTTCACCGAACTACCTACAAACCAGTTTTCGTAAACCGCTACTTGTTACGGTGTTCGGGAGAATGCAGATACCTGCTGTATAAGAGGAATCTTGGAATTGTATAACAGGTTTGTGTATTGTGTAAATAAAATAACATACTTACTTCAGTATAAAAATATAATTAACAATAAAGCAGAACAATTGAGCACTTGGATGAACAATGAGTTTAATTTAATTTACAATGCAGTGATGTAATATAGTACAACTTGGAGACCCATGTAGAATGAGACGAACATGGGGACGGTGAAGGCGATAGCTCGCGCCGGCTGCGGGAGCGGTACGACGGCGTACACGATGGTGTGCAGGATCCTGCCCAACGTGTAGACACGGAACAGCAGCGTGGCCCAGGCAGCCACTGGGCCAGTAGTCACGTACAGCGCGCCCAGCACCCAGAAAGCAGGAATGTTCTCCAAGTCGTTGAGATGCGCCCTCCTTATCCTCTCCACCACAGGGTCATCATACTTCACTTTGCCTCCTTTGACTGACTTAGCGTCCTCTGGATTGGCGAACACACCTCGGATTACTCGCGTCACACCTGTCATCGGCGCCAGGGACAACAATTTAATAGCAAGAATAGCAGAATACACAATGTAGGACTGCACTGCTGGGTTGTTTAACGCAAAGGCGACCATTTTGTACACAGTATATATTGTATGACACGAGAGGTAGAGTTAGTACGCACGCTCGGCAGTACACCGGTCGAATGATAAACACGACGCGGTCGAGATCACCGAGCTCACAAACAACTTCGTGTCGGTATTATGACGTTCTACACAGCTAATGGCTTTCTGCGTTCGCGCGACATACATTACTTAAAACTGTTTATTATACCAGCGAGACTTCAAACTAAAACGGTAATGCATTCAAAATTAAAAGAAGTGTCCACGGTTCGTGATTTTTAATCTCATACATAATACTTTACTTAATGATTACAAAGTTCAGAGATCGCTATCAGTTACCTTCCTTTGGATGTAACTAGGTAATTACTTATTATAAAATATTATTATTTACCTATCACCATAAAAAGATGTCGACCATCTATCACTTTTTTAAGTTTTTGTGGTGTCAATAAGTTTTATAACCATTGAAATACCTTCGCTTATATTTTTATCAAGTAATTCTAGAATGTAGTCAGGTTAATAAACATTTCATAGGTTATGTTTTATTTAGGCGGTTTCATTGCCGGCTATAAAGATGCGAAGTCATTCGTTTACACTTTGATTGTCCATTTGATGAATTCACCGAATTGTTAAGATATAGGAGTAAGCACCCCATTGAATATTATGTGTCTTTGACGGGAAATTAAAGTGATAACATTTTTAAACGAATATTTTACAAACCCATTTTTTATCTGTTCTCTCCTGCCAACAGGTCTTTCATGAATTGTAAACACTTAACTGAATAAATGCGTGTATTCATCTATCATTTGTTTCTGAGACTGGAAAAAAATAGTCAGTACCTAACCTTTATTTCTTTTTTTAATAAAAACAACATCAAGTTTTCACGTGACCTTCAACTGTCAACGCTTCTTCTATAATAGTAATTAGGTACAAAATCGAATCACCAGGCCTTCGTAACTCGTGCATACAAGCCGTCAGCATCAGATATCGGTGCTATTTGGTCTGGACAATGAGCCCCACTCTGTTTGCACAGTAACTGTCTGAACACGAGATCTCGGCCGAGGTCAGTGTGACTAGCAAGCGCCTAGCAAGTTTCTTATAGCAATGCGACGACGGCACGCGATTGGAACATGACATACAATAGTAACGTTTTGTGTCTACACGAAATATTTTGTTCTATAAATAAATAAATAATACAATTGTTTATGTATTTATAATGCTGGGTTTAGCCGTTTTTACGTGGAACATATTTTTACCTTCTTTATTTTAAATTTGTTATGTTGTATTGTTTTAAATGCTTTATGTTATTTTGGTTACCTGTAAACCTAGATTTCTTGATGTTGATTCGAATTTGCATTTCTCAAACTATAGAACGGACGCCTTAATCTTCGGAATTCCGTAAATAATACCAAAATTTAAACACTCTTGAATCATTGATGATAAAGGAAGAAAATGCTAAATAAATGACCGTGATTTTTACAGAAATGTACTTATTTGTTGTTCCATTAATATATTCGAGCTCTCATTCCGTGGTAATATTTCATTTTCACTGACTACGGCTTCGTGCAGGCCTGTCCGGTTCTGAAACGGATTCATCAATTCATTTGTTTTTGAAGGAAAAATACGCTCGTTGCTTTTTGGTACAAATATAAACAACAGTCATTACTTCGTCGAACAATGGATGAACATGACAGAGAGTTAATTCGATACTTTTGTAAAAGGTCGAATTTCTGTTTATAGTTCCTGTTTTAATTTCAACTTATAATATTTATTAAGTAATCATTACAAAATTATAAAATTACAATCGCTAAACGATTGCCTTTTAAATTATGGCAGGCGCTTAAGTAACATAAGGAAATCTTAACCTATATTATGAATTGTTCCAATTTCTCATGTCCCACTTTTATTATACTCATATCTCTTAGCGCTTTCCCTTAATTTGATTTGTGGCCCCATTACACACTTGACATATTTTGTATCCTTTTATTTTATTAAGTGAGAATCGGGTCATTCACCCTGTTTCATTCCGCTCGAGCTAAGTCAAAAAATTGACGTATTCTTACAAAAGTACGTACTTTATTGTGTTTCAGTCAATATTAATCGTGTTCCTAGTAAATCAAGTTGAAAGGAACTTGATAAGGACGTACATTTCTATATTATTGCTTCGAGATATCATGCATTGTTGACTCCTGTCGTAATTGAATAGCAATTTTTTTTATATTCATGAAAAATATTAATCATTAAAGTAAAATATAATTTATTAGTATTAAAATATAATATTATCTATGTAATATGGCTGCTATTTTGTATTTTACTTACGAGTATATCAAGAATAATTTCAATAAAAGAAACGCCCCCGGGTGGGCTCGAACCACCAACCTTTCGGTTAACAGCCGAACGCGCTAGCCAATTGCGCCACGGAGGCTCATGGCTGCCCGTGCGAAAATACCTAACACTTATAACTTACATTTGAGACTATGTGTACTAAATATGTATACCTATTAAAATAATATTAATAATCACAATACTGATTCTAACAATCCAATCCAATGCTTAAAGTCTAATTTTATTGCAATAGTGAAAAGTGGTTCACTATTTATTACTTACAGCACTTAATGCCGTAATGTGCACCTCTACCTACCCCTTCGGGGATAAAAGACGTGATGTTATGTTGTAAATTACCTACGTAGACCAGGGTCGATAATTTTTGAAACCAAAAAAAATTACAGTAGTATGAAATCCATTACAAAAGTAGCAGTATGATAAAAATTAAAGCATTAATGAATTATTTTTTCCTCTAACAGACTATAGAGATTTCTTTGAACAAGAAGCGCACACTTTTTATTTTTTTTAAACAGGTACTAGGTACGTACCCACTTCAGAACTTTATAGTCTTTTTTTACAGTTCCTAATAAATACACCAACATTAGTTGACATTTCAAGTTTAATTTATTGGAACACCTGATATCGATAACACTCCATTTCAAACTACCTATGCATTTGATTATTTCATTACTTACCACTACAATGAACTAGCCAATGCATATTCGTATTTTTTTTTATTACACATACGCTTTACATTTCTATAACCTGCTTACACGGTTTATACAGGAATGGTTGGAGTCTCAAGGCATGGAGATCTCGAAAGAAGAAGTATTGCCTGTGGACGCGTACACCCAGAAAGAAAGATGGAAGAACGTGCGTCCACCGAAAAGATCAAAGGTCCACGAAGACCATCTTCTACGGTTCCTACAGTACGATGGAAAAGTGCTGAGGTAAGTACAATGATTTTTCAATTCTCTCTAGTTTCTCTCTAAATCATGGTGACCTAATTAACTCCTTTTATTTTTTTTATATTTCTCATAATGAACCTTGTAACAAGCACCCTTTTCGGGAAAAATGTGCACACTTTTTTATGGCTTATGCTGGTAAATGAGCAGGCGGATCACCTGATGGTAAGCAATCGGCGCCGCCCATGGACATTTGAAACACCAAGGCGTTACAAGTGCGTTACCGGCCTTTGGACAATTGGGTATTTGAGGGTTGTGGAGGATTCGGGGATTGAGGAGACTGGGGGTAATTGGGCCTCCCGGTAAGCTCACTCATACGACAAAACACAACGCAACGTTGTTTCACTTCGTTTTTCTATGAGGCCGTGGTATCATTCCGGTCGAGCCGGCCCGAAGCGTGGCTCTCGCACAGACTGAGGTATCATTAATAAAATTAAAGTTTATATGAAAACGTATAAATGTTATCTTTGAAGTAAATCTAAAATGTTACAGAAGCGTCTCAGTATCAGATTGGATTTTCAATATTGACTTTAGTGTAGCAGATAATATGTTCCTTTAGTGATATATTGTGAGTAGATCAACAGTTTTGTTCCATAGTTTATGGACATTAAAAAGTGACATAAAGAAAAGATGGAAATAGGAAAAAATATAAGTATTTATTTCACTTTAATGGCGAGATCTGCATGCAACTTATAAAGTGTAGGGAACATCATTTTCTAAGGTAAGTAGGGAACATTGGAAGTTTACGACTTCGTTTGGTCTTTGAACAACTTTGTATGAAAATTCAATGCGACATGTGGGGCTTTAGAACTAACATATATATTTACGAGGGAAAAGCTTGACATGAAAATATTCTAAAAGAATTTATTTTGCTCTCGGAGAAATAAAATCAGTGTAAAGGAAACTAAAATAAATGTATGTCCTTAATTTGTATCGGTTTAGATTGGGATTTCAGAAATAGGTATTTATGCCCGGTACTTATATGCGGCAATAGAGCCATCACAACTACTTAAGGAAGAGTACATTGTTGCATTATACACCCCCGTTTAACCTTTCAGCAAATAAAAAACGTGAAAAATATATCTGACTGCAATATAAATAACCTATTAACTTCAATTAATTTTGACAATTTCAAATGTCACGTCTCAAATGCATGGTTCGACCTATGTACGTACTTGGAACTGTATGTAATTAAATAAGAGTCAATCTAATCAGAACTCGGTTTAAACTGGCAACTAGTTAGACTAGCTACCGCTGTGTCTCGGGGGAGCCATCCAAATGGGGTTTGTCTTCCAACCGTCACTCACTGCACTTACATCGGATTACCTGCGCCACTGAGAAACTTAGTCGCAACACTAGCATCAACTGTTTGTGTGCCATATGTTTAGTACTTAGACATACGATCACATTATTAATACCTATTGTGGAAGCTCCAAAGCAGGTCCGTCATAAGACCCGGTGCGCCTTACACGTGAAGATGGTGACCACCGGGGTGATTTTAGTGAGGTAAAACCCCCACTGCTTAGTATTTCTACCCGAAAAACTAAACGACTTTTGGAAGTTTCCCTCGTCATAAAAAAAAGGTAATATATAGGTAATATACTTACCGACTTGTATATTTGCATTTTTTGTATGATTATTTTTCGAAACAATTACGTCATGTGTTAGTTACTTTACCCATTGTACTAAAAACGACTTAACTAAGAACATATAATCCATTAGTTATAGATATAATTAATGGTTCTCTTTAGTATTTCATAAAAATGCCAATATTTTCCTTCTTTATCTGAAAATTTATTTTCATTTTACTGGACTT